CGCTGTGCCACCCAACCGGGTTGTCCCCCCTCACACCCCGACATGCACGAATGACAATCCTTGGATCAAGAATTCCAAAGCGCAACGGTCAAATGAAAGGGGAGAGCGGTCTGAGTGTATGAGGCTGGACACGACCTGAAGGCCTACCGCCACTGTCGATTCTCATGGACGGGACTACCATAGCCAGACACACCAATCAACGTGCATCCCCGCCAAAGAAAGGCTCGGCAAAAGGACGTTGCCCATCGTAGTCTTAGTCATTGAGTCACGTTCGGTCAAGGATCACCCCACACGACCCAAAAGGGAGGCCATACACACTGCAGCCCCAGACAACAGAGATGCCAAAATTAAAGAGCTTTGGCAACATCAGGAAGAGTTAGAGCGCACTTCCACCCATAAGAGCGCAATTCCCACTGTAAACCAACCTGTGCAGGCCACCACGCATATCACTAAGGAGCCACTCTTTGTCCAGGACAAAGTGGACGAGATACCCCCTATTGGATGGCGAGCCCCCCAATTTGACAAATACGACGGGAACTCCGACCCTTTCGATCATGTCGCGGCGCTCAAAGCCCAGATGATGCTACATGGTGCGTCGGAGGGACTGATGTGGTACTCCTCCCTGTCGCCAAGGTCTATAGCATCATGGGCCCAACTGGAAACCTAGTTCCTGGCATAGTTCACAACTAGTCAGAAGCATTGGAAAACCTCAGCCAGACTTATGCAGGTTCGATAGAGAAAGGTGGAGTCCCTTAAAGATTACCTAGCGATGTTCAAAAAAGAAGCACTCCAAATAAGGGATTTAAATCAATCAGTTGCGGTGACGGCCATACAACACTGACTCCACCCTTCCCCATTCAATTTCTCCATCTCCAAGAATCCTCCTCAAATATTGGCCGCGCTAATTAGCCACGCGCAGAAGTATATCAACGCTGAAGAGGCCCAGGCGCAACTCAGAGACGAGGATGAGAAGCCCGACAGAAAAAGGAGAGAGACCGACGAGCGGAAATCCGAGAGGTCGGACAAAGACCACAAGAGAGAAGATCGCCGAACCGACCATAGACCTCGCACCCCTCCGCCAACCTATTGGAATTTCACGCCACTTAATATTCCACGGTCTAAAATTCTGATGCAAATCCGCGACCGCAACTATGTCAGGTGGCTCGAGAAGATGAAGACGCAAAGTAACAAGAGGAACCGGGACAAATATTGCGAGTTCCACAAGGACCACATCCATGATACAGAGAACTATTTTGACCTGTGCAATCATATCGAAGATCTAATTAGGTGTGATTATCTCAGCGGCTTCATAGACAGAAAGGACAAGTCGGCCCAAGAGGAACGAAGAGCGGACGAAGCTTGGCAACCCCCACCCCAAGGCCCCCCAGCTGGCGTCATCCATGTGATATCGAGAGGAACTGCCTACGAAGGGGAAAGCAGCTCGGGACGGAAAAGATATGCTCGACGGTGCGAGATCAACGACCGAGGTCACGGGAGGAGGTGCGACACATCTATCACCTTCACTGACGACGACCTCCGAGGGGTTCAAACACCGCACGACGACGCCTTGGTCATAACAGACAAAGTGGCCGACTTTGAGCTGCAGCGGATCCTAATCGACACAGGGAGTTCTGCCAATGTATTGTTTGAAGATGCATTCGAAAAGCTCAGCATTGACACAGAACGACTTACACCAGTTAGCACTCCCTTGATGGATTTTTGGGAGAGTCCCTCCAGTCCACTGGGAGGATAACTCTTCCCCTTTTGATCGGAGACGGCGACGTGACTGCGACGGCCATGGTAGACTTCATCATGGTGCATTGCCCTTCCTCTTACAACATGATCCTTGGTAGGCCGACCCTCAACGCCCTGTAGGCAGTAGTTTCAACGTACCACCTCGCCATGAAATTTCCAACCAAGTATGACATAGGGGTGGCGCACAGAGACTAGAAAACAGTGCGACATTGCTATCAATTTTCCTGTCGAGGACCACGTTGAACGACCGGGACATTGATGGCGGAAGCATATGACTTGCATGATGAAGTAAAGACACAGCATGGCTGACCCGTGGAAGACCTCGTCGAGGTCCCCCTATTTGAGGAAGATCCCGAAAAGACGGTCCAAGTTGGCTCCTTGCTAGGGGACCACCTCTGAGAGGAACTTGTTCGACTACTGAGGAATAATGCCGATGTATTTGCTTGGTCGGCAGAGGACATGCCTAGAATCGATCCCGAAGTTATCACACATCGGCTGAACGTCAACCCCCATTGCCGACTTGTGAAGCAGAAGAAGAGAAACATCGCCACAGAGCGGTGGCAAATAATCACTAATAAAGTACAGAACTTGCTCGACGCTGGCTTCATTAGGGAAGTCAAATACCGCGATTGGCTGGCCAGTGTAGTGATGGTGTAGAAGGCCAACGAAAAGTGGAGAATGTACATCTACTTCACCGACTTGAATAAGGCCTGCCCCAAAGACAGTTTTCCCCTGCTAATGATTGACCAGCTTGTCGACGCAATAGCAGGACATAAGCTCCTAAGCTTCATGGATGCCTTCTCAGGCTACAACCAGATCCGGATGGACCCGAACGACTTGGAGCGAATGGCCTTTATCATTGTCCATGGCCTATACTGCTACAAGGTAATGCTCTTTGGCCTCAAAAAAGCGGGCGCCACCTATCAGCAGCTGGCGAGTGAGGTATTCAAAGAATATCTCGATAGGAACATGGAGGCATATGCCAACGATATGCTCGTGAAGAGAAAAAAGACTGAACACCACCTGGCCGACCTCTGCGAAATCTTCGACACACTTAGAAAGTAAAAGATGAGGTTAAACCCAACCAAGTGCACTTTCGGGGTTGGCTCCGGCAAGTTTCTGGGGTTTATGGTAACACAGAGAGGAATTGAAGCAAATCCGGAGAAGATAAAAGCCATCCTTGACATTCCATCCCCCTAGACCCACAAAGAAATGCAATGGCTCACCGGGAGAATAACCGCCCTTGGCAGGTTTATGTCCAAGTCCGCGGATCAGTGCCTCCCCTTTTTCAAAGCCCTCAAACGGCCAAAGGGCTTCCACTAGACAGAAAAGCGCGAGCAGTCTTTATAGGAAATAAAGCAGTACTTGAGCTCGTCGCCCCTCTTGACTAAGCCGAGCCCAGGAGACGAGCTATTGCTCTACCTTTCGGTCAGGGATGAGATCGTCAGCTCAGTACTAGTCAAAGAAGAGGACTGGGTACAAAAGCCAATCTACTACACCAGCAAGGTCCTCAGTGGCGTAGAGACTCAGTACTCCAATCTCGAAAAGTTGGCTCTAGCTCTCGTCACCACATCCAGAAAACTCAGACCCTACTTCCAGGTTCACAGTGTTCGAGTACTCACCAACCAACCCCTTAAGCAGGTGCTACTAAGACCGGAAGTGTCAAACCGCCTAGTTAAGTGGAGCGTGGAGCTGAGTGAATTCGACATCGAGTACGCACCCTGACCGACGATCATAGCCCAGGCCTTGGCAGATTTCATTGCAGAGGTACACTTACCATTGAGGAACCGGCCCCACTGCCCCCAACATGGACCCTCCATGTAGATAGCTCGTCAAACCAGCATGGTAGCGGCACCGGCCTTATCCTCCTCGGCCCGGACGACGTAGTGTTGGAACACACCCTCAGGTTCGAGTTCAAAGCATCCAACAATGAGACTGAGTATGAGGCCCTGATTGCTGGGCTCCGCCTTGCTTTAGACCTCGGGACACGACGAATTGAGGCCTTCAGCGACTCTGAGCTTGTGGTCAACCAAATCCACGGTGAGTTTGAGGCTCAGACTCCCTCTTTGGTGAGATACCTATAGAAGGTGCAGGAGCACATTTAACAACTCGAGCATTTCGACATCCCGTAGATCCCTTGAGCCAAGAACGCTCGACTGTCTGGTTAGCCACGCTGGCCCAGCCGAGCATTGCACCATCCTCATCCTTCTAGTGCAACATGGCTCATCTTGGATGGACCCCATAATCGAGTATCTTCGAGAGGGCACTTCCCTAGAGGATCGAGCAGAAGCGAAAAGACTCCAACACAGAGCAGCCAGGTATTGCCTAATAAAGGGTCAACTCTACCGTTGTTCCCACACACTTCCATACTTGAAGTGCCTCCCCCCAGCCGAGGCAGACTACATCCTTAGGGAAATACATGAGGGCATTTACGATCACCCCGGCGCGCGCGCCCTAGCCCATAAGACGCTTTGACAGGGGTATTTCTGGCCGACGATGAAGCAAGATGCTGCTCAATTAGTCCGGAAGTGTGATAGTTGCCAACATCACTCTAATCTCCATCACCAGCCTGCGGCCCCTTTGAAGTCAATTGCCAGCCCATGGCCGTTTGCCCAATGAGGAATGGACATCCTCGACCCCTTCCCCACCGTGGTTGTGCAAAAGAAGTTCCTTCTCATAGTAGTGGACTACTTCACAAAGTGGGTAGAAGTCGAAGCTCTAGCACACATCCCCGTCCACAATGCCCAAAACTTCCTTTGGCAGGGAGTCATCTACCGCTTCGGTATCCCGTAAGTGCTCATCATAGACAACAAAACACAGTTCACCGACAAGAAGTTCGAGGCCATCTATGCCGATCTAAGGATCGATCACCGGACTACCACAGTACACCGACCTTAGAGCAACAGGCAGACCAAGGTAACCAACCGCATCCTACTACGCAGCCTAAAAACACGCCTAGATCAGGCCAAGGGAAGGTGGGTTGAGGAGCTGTCGAGCATTCTTTGGGCCTACAGGACGACCCCGCGAACTACCACTGGAGAGACCCCTTTCAGCCTGACCTATGGGGCCGAAGCCATGATCCCCGTAGAAATAGGTTCCCCAACCCTTCGGACTGAGCTCTTCGACGAGGGGCAGAATGACGAAGATCTATGCGTGGAGTTGGACCTAGTGGAAGAAGCTCGGGACCGAGCACATGTGAAGATGGTTGTACAACAACAGAAGATGGCACAACATTATGATTCTAAGGTAAGAACACGCGAATTAAAGGCATGTGACTTCATTCTATGCAAAGTCATAGTCCCCACACCAGGAAAATGAAAGCTCAGACCGAATTGGGAAGGGCAGTACAGGGTCACCAGAGTCCTCGGACCGAGTACTTATAGACTTGAAGACCTCGAAGGCTGACCAATACCGAGGAGTTGGAACTCGGGAAACTTTAGAAATGTACTACCAGTAGACCTACAAGCAATAAAAGTCTCCTTTTAAGCTACTTCTTCGACCTAGAAGCGCGCCCACGCCCACTGCACACACCACATATGCACATGCTAAGTCGCACTGCCAATTGAGCTAACTCCGCCAATCCCCAAACGGCTGAGCCCATTACACCCAGTTCGGTAGCACATTGTCAAGCAAGCTACCCGACTCAGCTGCCAACGGCTGAGCCTAAACGTGGAGGAAGAACGCCTCAGCCCACCAAGGCCCGAGGGCGGTCGAGGAACTTTGCACAACCGCCGGCTTAACGACTGAGCTAGATGGGAAACGGCTAGCTCTAGAAGGGCCCCAAAGGCTCCCGAGACCAGAAACTAAGTGTCCCATGGCTGAGAGCTCGGGAACCGAAAGATCTCGAACAACAACACCTTGGTCAGCACAGAACTGGGGGCACCAGGGCATAGCCTGGCTGGCTACACTTCGGCCAACGACACCTTGGTCAGCACAAGTTTGGGGGCGTCAAGGCATAGCCCGACCGGCTACACCTCAGCCAATAGCACCTCGGTCAGCACAAGACTGGGGACGCCGAGGCATAGCGGCACAACTGACCCCGACCCACGCAATTGCACGATTGGCCACACTTTGACCAACAGAATCGCACAACAACTCGGCCCGGCCACACTTTGACCAATAGAGGCATAACCCAGCCTGGCACACACAACAACCTAGCCAGATGGGCTTCGGCTGGAAAAAGAGGCATAAGTGTTGCAACACGTGATCAGATAAAGAAACATTGACATTTAACTAAACTGTTCATTACATCGTTTAAAGCCCGACATACCGAGCAAAAAAAACAAAAACAAAAACAAACAAACAAACACAGAGACGTACAACTATAAGAAACGTTAGAAGCCCCGGGTGATATCCCAGGGACGTGAACTCTGACAATTAAGTTAGTAACGCTAAGGAAAAATAAGGTGAGTCGGAGAGCTTAGTTTGATGAAGTGAGAGCTCATATAGAGACCTTATGTGCTAGTATGAGATCAGCTCGTCAGAACAAAGTCATCTCGTAGCTGGTTAGGACCATGTTAGTTCATCAAGATAGGTTAGCTCATAGTTCATTAAGATCAAATCAGCTCATAGCTCGTTAAGACTATGACATCTTGTAGCTCATTAGGACTAGGTCAGCTTGTAACTCATCGGGACAATGTCAGCTTGTAGTTCATCAGGACCAGGTTAGATCGTAGCTCATCAATTGACAACTTTGTCCCTCGCATGCTGCCACTTGGTGGTTTCTAACTGATGATCGGTTTTGGCCTTATCAGTTACTTAATATTGAATAAATTAAACGTCAATAAAAATGAAAAGACAAACAAAAAACTGGAATTACAAACGATGATCAGACAGTAGCTACTAAAACTAAAACCGGATCTAAAAACTAACAAGCGTGACTACACAAATGTAAATGAAGAAACGCAGAAAGTATAGATCTGAAGTAAGAATAGAATAAGAAAATAAAATTACTAGAAAGAGAGGTACGTTTTTTGCTCCTTTGAGTTGCTGAGATCG